AGTTACAGCAATAAAGACAAAGATAGACCGAATCAGTGTGTAGACAAATCACCACTGTTAAATATATATAGCACACAAAAAGTCAGATTTATTAATCATTTTGCCTTGAATAAAGGTAAAAATATTAATGGATTTGATTTCTGTCAAGGAAAAGGATCAATTATGCGTAATATTGGAGATTTAAAAATGTGTAAAATACATATGCGTTCTCCGACTATCTATCTTCCGAACCATAAAGTTTCTCCTTGGTCTGATTTGAGCAATTCGTGCTTATTTACGAATCAAAGAGACGAGATAAAGATTCCAAAAGATGACAGTGTACGAATCCATATTCCAGTTGCAACTGTACAATACACGTGTAAAGCAACAAACGAATTTATTCAGGATGTTAAAAGTGTACTTAGTATTTCAAACCCGTCAGAAGTTAAAAGGAAATTGGAGATGACATTTAATTATTATAGTAACTACGTGGTTACAAAGGCCACAATTGGCGGTGCTATTACAATTAGAGATTGGTCAAAAATCTCTAATGAAAGCAAATCACATTTAATGTGTTATATTCAATGGGGAGTTGATTATGTGAAAGGGAATGCATTAAATATTTTTGAAGATGTACTACTTGATAAACTACCACGGCTTGAAACTTCAGCCAATATAGAAACTATTAAAGATCTATATAATTGGTTTAAGAGCTTATATGATTGCAAATTTTTAGAAATCATATCATACGATGAATTTATTCCATCTTATGAACTATTACCAGAAGAGTTACAACAACAATTACGTGATGTTATTGGGTTTAAATTAGTTGAAAGTTTCCCTCGCTTGACATTAATTCCGAATCTTCTTACTGGATACGATGCGCAAGATATTCTAGAATGGATAAAATTAGGACCGCTACATAACTTATATCTTTGCAATTGGGTCTATGATAATGCATTACAACATGGTGTAATGCTCCAGCGTTCAAAATTAAGACGTGGTCAAAAGGCAGCATTTAAATTTATAAAAGAGCCTAGAATAACGAAGGTAAATGAAATTATTATTGTACTATCACAACCAGAAACCGATGAAGAGGCCTATATGTTAGAGAATGGAATAATTTTAAACGATGAATTAGAGCTTGATAAAATTGGTTTTGCAGAATATAGTTCAGCACTTAATGTTCCTCTGGAGGATTTCAAACGTTCTAAAAATAAACATTCTAATGCAATTTATTGTCAAGTTATTTTTCGTGCGATTAATATTTCTTTTGATCATTCAGATATTAAATGTTTACAAGAATTTACAGATGAAATAAATTCAGAACTCTGTAGCAAAGAGCCATTTAAAAATCTTTGCAGGTTGCTTGGGAACGATTACGGACATTTATTGCCAAGAACTTTTATGTTAGGTGGAGTCTTATCAAAAAAATACGTAACAGATTATAATCCTACAAACATTCAGAAACGAGAATTCATATTTAATGGAGATCATCCTAATGCGCTTCAAGAAATTGAGAATCATTTAAAGGCATGGAACATTGAATATAAAGATATCGACACGTCAATTTTTCTTAATAATAGAGGTGATCCCGTTAGGCGTAATAAAATTGGTGATTGGTGGCAAACACTTGCAAATAATCCTAATGACTGGGAGGTTATATCTTCAGAGAATTGGATGCCAATACCTAATATTGTTTTTAAGGGGGAAAATTTATTACAAGGTCAAGATACAGTAGTTGTTAAATTTCCTGAACCACTTGTCGATAACGATTATCATATTGTTGGAAATGTTGTTAGGAAAAATGAAGATTGCTGGGACAATATTCCAGAAGTAAC